GTGTAATAAAGTGAGTGTTGTAGAGACCGGTGTCACCAAAAAGGCCCCAACGTGTGGCTCTATTCCCATGTTCCCTACAGTTCCTCTCATGAGTCAAAATGGGGAAAAGAACTGAAAAAGTGCCAGGATCGGAGAGGTTTAACAGTGTGAAATGCCTTATGTCCCCTATTCACATTCAGTTCTGGTTTGGATTAATTCCTTCTGGATCTTGATTTGGGATTTTCCAAAACTAAAAAGGTTTTTACATTTTTCAAGTACAGCCGCCCAACTGTGGCACCTGGTGTTCCCAGATATCTACCATCACATACATGGTATTTGCCAAATCTCATAGCTCTGGTTAAGCGCTTCATGTTACAGTTTGCTATTTGAACACGCTTTCCTCTTGCAAAACAACAATGTGAGTAATTACAATGTGAATTACTTCTAAAACCTACCCCAGGAAAGCCTTCTCTCCTCGCTCATGTTGCTCACTGGAAGTTCTCTGAGCCCCGTCACATGTAAAGAGCATCTATGTACGGGCACATGCAGTCACCAATGGAAACTGCATGGAAACTGCAGGAGACGAAAAAAGTACATAACCTTTTAAAATAGGCGAATGGGAAGCAGCTGGCATATGCGCAAAGGAGACAGAGGACATCTAAGGTGATTTGCAAAGGCCACGGTCGGAACGGATTTAGTGGCCAGTGTCCAGAACCACAAACATACTGTCCCTACACTTATCGGGAAAACAGGTTATCTATTGCATACTTATAAGAAATAGCTGGTCACTTTACTGGGTTCAGAAAGAGTGGCCATATATAAACGTTTTTTACAATTCTCTCATGAAGAGTTTTTTTGGAAAAATAGACATCTCTGTTTTGAAAATGTTGTCAAAGAAGTTGTAGTCAAGGTTACAACTCTACGGTTTTGCCTTAAGTACAAGTAAAAAAGTGCATTTTAAAAAACGTAAAATTACAATTAACTAAGCAGCAATAAAACAGAGGATGAAAAAGTTTTGGTGTGAGTGAGAAGGCTTTGTCCCTAAACAGATGGTGTCATGAGAGGTCAGGGATGGGAGAGTGTGTCCAGAGCTGGAAGTCTCTACTCCCCATGATGACGCGGCAGGCAGAGGGACAAGCCTGGAGCTGGAGAGTAGGGAGGAAAAGGAGCGGTAGGGAAAGGCCAGGTGAAAGTGAAACTGGAGTCAGTAGAGAGGAGAAGGTCATTGGTGATTTTGACCAGCAACAGTTTTTTAAATCTTCATGATACTTTGATGTTGGCAGTAGTTTTTTTTTTTAATTGCTAAAAAAGAGGTGGGGAACTTTCTCTGTAGGGAACTAAAATAGATCTGTCTTTTAAAAACTACTTGGTAAAGGGCAAATTGTAAGTCTTTCACATCAATTTTTTCTAACGGCACATATCTGTTTGTGCAAATTGACTTTTCATTTATATTTCCTTTACCCACTCAAATTTGTGAGTGGTTTCTACTCAGAGGTGTGTCTGGGATATTTTGGAATATTTTATTGTATAAAACAAGTTTTCCCTATGGGATATTTTCATTCGTAGAATAACTCCATAAGCCTTCTGCTTATTTCAATGTGTGATTTCTTCTTTTGGCTTTTACTTATCCAGAGTATTGCATACAAAAGAGTGGATAACACTCTCACTGCTCAGCAAGAAGATTCTGGGTTTGAACGTGGTCTGCTTCTGATAGTTTTTTTTATTTAAGGGTTTCCTCTGGGTGCTCTGGTTTCCCCTACCACTAAAAACATGTACAATAGGTAAAATCCTCCAGCTGCAGTAGACCAAAGCCGATCATGAACATCTGGAGAGGGTTCTCCAGGTGCTGTATGCGACCACTGCTCTGGACGGAACCTTTAGTGGCATCAGGATGGGTCAAATGCAGAGGAGAAATTGCCCTACTGGAATAAACAAAGTGCCTCTTTACAATGATCTGTGTTCTCTGCTGAGAAAAAAAGAAGAAACCTGTGGTGGTTTAAACCAGAATCAGAATTATTTTATTGCCATGTAAGTAACAGGAAGTCACAGACTAGGAAATTGCTTGGAGCAACAGTCAAAGAAGAGAGGTAAAGTGAAGGCATAATAAAAATCAGCATACACTTCTAAGGTATCAGGATTAAAATATAAATTATTACAATTACAATTACTATATACAATAAACAAGTGCACATGGTGTACACAGTAAGCAGTGGAATAAGGTGACAGCAGTAAAGTGACGTCATGATGGGCGACATGTCCCCTTTCAAATGTGCTACAAGATGTCTCGCCTAAAGAATTGGAAAAATGGGGGTACCTACATTTTTTGTTTAACACTGTCACTTCACTTTACTCATATGTGCAATATTAGAACCACCATTTGTTCACCGTTACCTTACTCATTCACTTCGTCCATACCCTCATGCTGCTAAACATATGCAAACAACTATACATTTATTGCACTGTATTTAATACTTGCTTCTTTATCAAGATAAAGATAGAACATTTATAACAATTTCTGATTAAACTAATGCTACAGATTTTTAACTGTTATGGTTCCTTATTATCGTGCAAATCTAAAATCTCTTTATCTCTTAAAAGGCTTCTTTGTTATTTTATTTAAAATTTGTATAGAGTTATGTTCATTTATCTTTAGTTATGGGCTCCTTATTCCAAACTGTTCTATAACCTGTGATGCAACACTGAAATGTCCCTACTATGGGACAAATACAGGATCTCTTAATATTAATCCTAGAACTCCCAAAGCAATCAATTTGACGGCTTTTAGCCAAATTACTCAGCTCATGAGCACTTAGAGCCCTCTGAGAAGATGCAGGTTCTGGACTTGTTCTCTAGTGCTCGTTTTCCACTGTAACAACACTGTCAGCATTTAGCATTTGGTGGCCTTTCAACAAACTGTTTTTATTCCAGTATTTCAAGTTAAATCCACCAGTTTTAGCATTTAGTAATTCAATCTGGAGAGACGAGGGAAACAAGAATGCCTTTGAAGTATTTTATTGAGAGGTAGTTTTGGCGCCCTAGGCCCCAGTGCGGCGTTCAGTCAGCGAGGCTCCTGCGAGAGTGCGCGCACAATCCCCCGGGACCTAGGCACTGGTGGCGGCATTTGGCAGCAGGAAACAGATTGGAGGCAGGGTGAAGAGGAGGAGGAGGGGAGGAGGTGGTTGCAAGGCTTCGAGAAGGCCGTGAAGTGGGAGTTTCTCCGCTTTTAAGCGGCTGGCCTGGCCGGCACGGATTGATTGGAAGAGGGCGTTTGCTGTGCGATAGGCTGGGGTATGCGAGGGGCCGGCCTGGAGGGGGTAGCTTTGGCTGAACGTCTTCAAATTGAATTTCCGCGAGCTGCATAAGTGAGCAAGAAATTACTTACTTTAAAACTATTGCTACTATTTTTCAGGGGGAATTTTTCATTATTCCATTTAGCTAGAATGTGAGCAGTTAAAATGACGGCTCTCTATGTTTTAGTGGTCTAAAAATTCTGCTAAAGTTCTACTAATAATAATGTTTTTCGTCCAAACAGAAATTATATAAAAGTTAAATGTCATCTTTTGAGTAAGAAACTTGTGACTATTTCAACTTAGAGCAAAAAAATTGCACTTGTTATTAAACTGTTTTAGTCGATTCAATCTCACAGTGACACTTGTTTACTGTTTTATTTGTTTTATTTCTGGGTCTTTTAATGTTGTTTTATGTCTGTATTTGTCTGTGCACACTGGAGACTTTTTGCTAATGTATTCCAATGTGGTGTTTTTAAAGATGACAGAAATCCACAAACACCTTCATGTGAAAACTAGTGATGGAACCAAACTGTTTTAAGAGCCAGCAACTAGCGATAGCTAGAGTGAATTACAGAGCTCCTTTTTTGCTATTTGAAAGTTAGGTACCTCAGCCTTAACATAATAATGCATCACAGTAAAGGCAATTATAACAGAAGAAGCAGTGGTCGTAGATGGCCTGTGTGTAATCAGTATGCAAATCTGACCACCAGCGGAAGAGCAAAGTGGATATTATTACACACATTAATATTTGATTCACTCATTGTGTGGAACGGCTCCCCGTGGGGGGTCACTGAAGCTCCAGGGGCCGACTTTCCCACATCCACCACACACTCCTATATGAGCTGCTGCTATAGAATGTGATAGCATAGACCGTGTATTAGGAGTGGACCGATCCGAGTAACTTAGTGGTGACGTCACCATAGTGTTTGCCGAATGCCGAAGAAGCCTATTTGAACACAAGCTAGGCTGGAGCCAATGATGGTTGCTGTGTAAAGCTGGAGTTTCCCCTGTGAATGAAGGCATTCTAAATTGGTCCAGTCCGTATTGGTTCATAACTGGAGTTATAAAGACAATCTATCCATCCATCCATTTTTCTTCCCCTTAATCCTGCCATCCCTGCTCCAGGACAAGCTCTCCCAGCTCAACGTGCCCGATTCCACCTGCAGGTGGATCACTGACTTCCTGACATACAGGAAGCAGCGAGTTTCCCCTGCTCTTCTCCCTGTACACCAAACCACTGCACCTACAGCCACAACTCTGTGAAGCTGATCAAGTTCGCAGACGACACCACCCTCATCTGGACTCATCTCCATCAACGATGAGTCCGCCTACAGGAGGGAGGTAATTTTGTATTTTGTTGTTTTAACTGTGAAGTGCTTTGTGGCCTTGGTCTGTTAAAAGGCGCTGTTAAATAAAGTGTGGCTGAGAGGGCAATAATTTCATAAAGTGTTTATTTAATGTTTTTATATAATCACAAATCATATTTAAGTTCGCACTTAGGCTTCTGCAGTTGAAATGAATCACAGATAAATCTTCATCTGAAACAATGTTGCCTTCCAACTCATTGCTGGTGTAATATTTACATTTATTATTTATCTGACTGTACAATTGAGAGTCCACATTCAGTTCCTGATCGTAGTAGTTTTTATCTTCCTCAGTCATCTTCGCTCAGAGTCTGTCCACGGGTGCCCCCTTCTCATTTTTTCAAACTTCATTTCAGACATACCTTGGTCAGGTTGTGCTTTGTGATGCTGAAGTTGGTTGAAGCAGTTTCTTCAGGCTGGGCATCAGGTTGTCTATGTGCCCGGTTCTGCTTTTGCTACGAGGCGACTGCCAGCCAGCCGCTTGAAGAATAGACTCCAAATCCAGCTCTTTGGTGGGACATTCCATAGCAATGCCGAACTCCTGCAGTCCTTCTGCTGCTTCAGGACTCTCAAACACTTTAATCTTCCCGTCCGCTGCGAAAACTTTCAATTTCGCGGGATACAGGATGCGCGTTTTAATGTTACGCTCTCTCAGTTCTTTACGTGCTAATCTATACTTTGCGCGCTCCCTGTAGACCTGTGCTGTGAAATCCTCATCAAAGTAAATCCTGCGTTCATTCAGAAGTATCTCCTTTTTGGATCATGCAGCCTGGAGCACCCGCTGCCTTTCCTCGTAGCTTTGGAATCTTACCAGGATGGACCTGGGATGTATGGATCCCGTGTGTCCTCCCTTCCCCGATGCGCCTCGGTGTGCTCTTTTTATGTGTGCTCCTGCTATTCCCAGCTTTTCGTTGAGAAGTTTCTTGATGAAATCCATCATACTGTTCCCCTCTGCCTTCTCTGGAACGGAGTAGACGTGCAGATTTTTCCTTCTGGAGCGGCTTTCAATGTCATCGCACTTTTCTTCCAGCAGCTTTTGTTTGCGCAAAACTTGAATGAGCACTTGGGTCATTTCAATGTTACGGCTTTGATTTTCTGCAATCCTCTCCTCCGCAGTGCCCACTCGTGCTTTTAGTTGCTTCACATCCTCTTTGATTTCATAAATTTCCTTCTTGATTTCTGAGAAGTTTTTGGAGGTTTCTGCGCGGAAGCTCTTTAACTCTAGGAGAATGTCAACAAGGGAAGAGTCTGAGTCTTCCTCTCCGCTCGTAGTGTCTCCCGCTGGCTTCTCGCTCGCCTTTCCCTTGTCCTTTCGTCTTGGTTTTGGCATCTTTAGTTTCTCTTCAGATTCAGTTTATTTGCCATTTGCAGTAAAAAAAACCACATTGGAATACATTAGCAAAAGTCTCCAGTGTGCACAGACAAATACAGACAATAAAAGACAGAAATAAAACAAATAAAACAGTAAACAAATGTCACTGTGAAATCGATCGACTAAAACAGTTTCAAAACAAGTGCAAATCATTAAAGTGCTCTGTTCACACTGATAACAGCCTGTGGATAAAAACTGTTAGCGTAACGAGATGTCCTACATCTCAGGGAACGATATCTTCTGCCAGAGGGAAGAAGCTGGAACATGGCTTTCCCAGGGTGGCCAGAAGAGTATTGATGATTTTAAGAGCTTTGTTTAAAAGTCTGGATTTATAAAGAACCTCCAGAACAGGAAGCTCACAGCCCACGGTCCTCTTTGCAGAGCGGAGCACCTTGTTTAAAGCTCTCTTTTCTTTATCTGTGATGTTTCCAAACCACACAGACACAGAACCAACAAGTAAACTCTCAATGGTGCAGCGATAAAAGTTAAGCACAATCTTAGAGTTAGTGGTAAATTCTCTAAGTTTACGCAGAAAGTAGAGACGCTGACGAGCTTTCTTAACGACTCGGTCAGTGTTTTTAACCCATTTCAGGTCGTTAGACAGAGTTAGACCCAGAAACTTGCACTCCTCTACGATCTGCACCTGGGAGTTGTCGATTACGACAGGCAAATGAGAACTATTGCGACTGAAGTCGTAGACCAGTTCACAAAAAAATAACAATTGTAAACCGCTTTGTGACTCTGGTCTGTGAAAGGCGGTATATAAATAAAGCTTACTTACTTACATGTTTTGGATGCGTTCAACTGGAGGTTGTTAGTTTTACTCCACTGAACCACATTTTGTATCTCTGCTCTATAAGAGGATTCATCATTGTCACTGATGAGACCGATGATGGTGGTGTCATCAGCATATTTGATGATCAAGTTTGAGTCAGAGGAGGACACACAATCGTGAGTGTACAAAGTAAAAAGCAAAGGACTCAAAATACATCCCTGAGGAGAACCAGTGCTCACAGAAACAACATCAGAAAAACAGTCATTGATTTTCACTCTCTGAGATCTGTCAGTTAACAAGCTAAAAATCCATTTACACATGGCAACACTTAAACCGAGAGACATGAGCTTTTCAATCAGTTTACCTGGGACAAAGCAGTTAAAAGCAGAGCTATAATCGATGAAAAGCATTCTCGCGACAGATTTATTAGTGTCCAAGTGACTGTAGACAGAGTGAGACGCTTAAGTAATGGTCGTTTCGAACCAGGATCTCTCCTTAATATCCAGTTTTTAGCGAATTTAAGTGTGCAGGACGCCGGTAGCAGCGTGCTCCGGTGCCATCTTTATTTTTCTTTTTCTTTTTGATAAAAAAATATGTATTAGGATGTATTAGGATCTAACCTAATACATCCTACCGCCAGGGGTAGAAGCTTGCTTTTGGTGGTATAAAACTTGAAAACAGAGGGTAAACTAGCACTGCAGTGACTGCGCCTGGCCAGCCCGCGGCCATCTTGTCTTGAGACCGAGATGGTACTGAGTAAGTATTCTTTTAATGAATACTTAGACTTAGGGCGCTACTGTGTAGTGTTGGTCATTTGTGGTAGTACTTGAAGAGGAAAGCATTTTCTGAGGGGGTACTTGGTGTAAAAAGTTTGAGAACCTCTGTTTTTAGTAGGGATGCACGATAATGCAAATTTCAACTGATATCGATAATTGATAATTTTATGTCTGCAGATAACGATAACCAATAATGTCAGCCGATAATTCTTTGCCTAATTAACTATAGTTTTAAATACAAACACATCTCCTGCTTTAATTTTGACCCATAAATATTACAATAATCACTTTGTAGCGCAAAAAGTTGGAATTTATTAACTTACATTTTCTTGCTTCAAAGGCTTTAACAGAGCCTTATTTATTTTATTTATTTTAAAAAATGAGGCCAATAGAAATAGGCCCATGACATTCAATGTATAACATTAGCAAAAAGTAACATGACTTTTCAAAAAATAATGTCCCCTGACAGTAAAATAAATAAGTGCAAAAAATGCCTGTGTTTATAGAGAAATAAATAAAGAGGCAATATTCGATGATAAAACAAAGGGATCAGGGTTCAAATAAAGTTTAGTCAGCCTTTATTTTCAGTAAAACAAAAACTACTACTAATCAGTGATAGATTTTTCTTAAAGGAATAGTTCACCGTTTTTACATACTGACATATGTTCTTACCTTACCTTAGACTAGTTAATATGTACCTGTCTGGTCTTAGTCCGTGCGCTCTGTCATGCAAACGGAGCAAAAACGGGAGCACAAACGCAGCCTCCTCTGTATACTGTGTAGGACCAAAAGGTAGCTCCCGCTAGAAGCTACCAAACTCTTCCAAGTGTTCCCTATTAAATGTATATAGTTACGTGACGTGTTACACTGCAAAGTATAGTAACACAGAAATGTAACAGTCGATTTTCTCAGCGGATAAAACGGGTACCGTTTTACCTTTTGGTCCTACAAAATATACAGAGGAGGCTGCGGTTGTGCTCCCGTTTTTGCTCCGTTTGCATGACAGAGCGCACGGACTAAGACCAGACAGGTACATATTAACTAGTCTAAGGTAAGGTAAGAACATATGTCAGTATGTAAAAACGGTGAACTATTCCTTTAAACAGTATCATCTCTGCCTTTTCACATCCCAACCTATTTCGTTTTTTTTCCATCGATTACATTTAAAGCAGCAGAAAATAAGTGTTAGTAGTGATAGTAATTAGTTCGCTGTGGCTTTACGTTTGCCGGGTGCGCTACTGTTTGTAGCACAAGTAGCTTTGTATTTTCCCTGGGGAAGGCCTCGTTGTGGAATTTCGGCAGAACACGTTTTGCAAACTGCGAGTGAACTGTCTTGGCCAGACACGGTAAATAATGCCGCCACTGGGGACCGCCACGGTATAATAGACTCATGCCGCCACGCCAAGATGCTATTTTTACAGATGCTTCTTTGTAAACACCAAACCGCGCCGTTTGGTGAAGCAACAAATATGCGACGCTTCCTTACGGGTTGGAGGGGGTTGAGGAGAGAGCCATCAGCGTGAGCCTGGACAGACAGTTCAGAGGCAAAACGGAGATGATATGTCTTTACTATTATCGGCACATTTTATCGATTGATTTCTTACTATCGGACTTATCTGTAGGTCGTCAAAATTGCCGATAATTGCAGATAATTATCACCAATATTATCGTGCATCCCTAGTTTTTAGGTATAAATCCAAAAAGACTCTCGTTGGAGTAATAGTTTGAGTCTGTCCCCTCCTCTTGAAGACATTTTGGTGTTCAATTCCACAGATTTTCAGACTTTCACAGCTTCCATGTCCATAGTATGACAGTACACTTCTTTGTAGTGTACTGTCATACTATAATGGAGGTTCCCCGGTTTGATGGCATATTTATGCTCATAGTCTGTTTTTTAATTTTCTTGTAGTCCTTCTACATATTCTGTATTACAGTTTGTAAATTATTTTATCTCATAGTCCTACTGTGTGTTGACAGCAGGACTACAAGAGTAGTGTCCCTAAACACTTCTAATAATAATGATGTATGTATGTAATGATGTCCTCTACAACATAGGTATCAGAGTCAAGAATCGGGGGTCAGATCCGGCCCGCGAAGAAATTATATTGGCCCTCGGGAGGTTTTTTTGAACTTATCTATTTTTTTATGGCTCTAATAATATTGATAATTCATTTAATGTTAAGGACATGTGTTTTCTCTTTGAAGGAAGTTTGTTTTTAATAAATAATGGTACACTGTGTTAGGTCTAGGTTCCGTTATATGCAATCATCATAGTATGTTTTAATAAACATTGAACCAGTCCTGCCCTCGGCTTGTAGAAAATTAGTTGTTTTGGCCCTTTGATGTATTTGACCTCCCTGCTCTTCAACCTCATGACTTTAATTGCAGAATGCAATGTCAGTGTTTCCCACAGGATTGGAATCAATGTGTGATGACGCCCCCTCGCAAGCTTTACACAAAACTTTAATGCACTAAATTTAACATCCTACACAAAAGTGTAGGAACTTTAGAACAGCTGTACACATTTCACACCCTGGTTGAAGCCTGACAATATTATAAACAAATTAATAACATAACTAATTTCACTGGTCGGACTGTTCAGCTGTTTCAGACTCATACCTCCGGTTCAGGCTGGTCTAGGGATGTAAAAAACTATGAATTTTCATGACCGACCACCGAGCCTCATTAACCGGTTGAAACCGGTTAACCGCGTAGTTTAAAATAGTCCACGTTCTTTAAATAACAGCCATTACGAGCCGCGTACTTTTCATAAGTGCAGCTCTGCGTTCTACTGGATCAGAGCCGAGACAGCGGCGCCCAAACCCGCAACAGCTCCGGCACCTTTGCGCACAGAGAACTGCTTTTTTAATCTTCCCATTCTGCTGTGCTGCGGGTTAATACCAAAACTTTCTAGCAGCAAACGACGGCTCGTTCACATGGTCAGAGCAGCGAGTGACGAGCCGCGTCTCACAGGTCTTCACAAAAGTTTAAATACAAGTGATGTGTGTGGAGCTGATCCCGAGGACCATAAACACAAACATGTTCCATGTGTTTGACTGGAGCCGCGTATTTGCGCGAATCCTTTGGGCTCCGTGACACAGAGGAGCGCGACAGACCGGTATGTGTGTGTGTATGTATGTATGTGTGTGTGTATGTATGTATATGTGTGTGTGTGTGTAAATGTAAGCTCCAATGTAGTTCTGACCCGCGCCAGTGTGCAACTTTGACGGTAACAGAGGGGAGAGATGATGCGTGTGGATGTTACGTATGGAGAGGGGGAAAGTGTGTGTGTGTGTGCGTGTGCGTGTGCGTGTGCGCGTGCGCGCGTGCGTGTGTGCATATGTGGCTCGTGCGGCGTGAGAGTCGTCCCGGAGTTTACTAATACATGGGCGCACACAGCTAGATAC